GGATTAGGTTTTTCTGCCTTTGCCCCATTTATCTATTTTCTGAGTGAAGATTATTTCCCAAAAAGGTAGTACCAACACACTGGTGACTGCCAAGTGTAGGGACCAGAACAAGCATCTACTTTTTTAAAAGTTTAATTTACTCATTATTTTTGAAGCAAAGTCTCATTATTTAGTTCAGGCCGGCCTTGGACTCATTTTGTAGCTCATGCTGGCCAAGAACCCATGATCCTCTCATTTCAGCCTCTCAAGTGCTGGTATATGTGTGTGCCACCATGCTTGGCAAGCATCTACTTTTAAAGGTTAGCATTAAAAGCTTTCTGTAGTCATGTCTCAGCATGTCATGTCAACTTTTAATAATTAAAAAAAAATTGTTTTTGGTGCTAGGGACTGAACCCAGGGCCTCACAAATGCTAAGGAAAAGCCCTTCTAGTGATCTGTACCCTTCAACCAACCTAAATGTTTTTTGCACATATCAGTTGCCAAGTTTACTTGTAATGCCTTTCCTGTTCACTTTTTCAAGTCCTACCCAAACTTTAAAATTCATAAAGCTCTTTCAGACTACTCTAGCCCATTCATTTTCTGACTATATCTGTAAGCACCTATGACACCTTCATTTCCACTCACTTGTTACCTTTTCTTCATTAATATACCTGTATTGCACTTTTTGTTATTGTGTCAAATTTATCTATGATAATTTTATGAAAATTTGTTGTTTCCTCAGTAAAATTAGAGCTCCTAGAGTATGGAGGCCTTTGTTTATATTTCTTTGTGCTTTCTATAAGTAAATGTTTTTCTAAAATTTGATTTCATGGGCACATAATTTTTTTTTTTGAGACAGAGTGTCACTGTAGTCCAGGCTGGCCTCAAACTCTTGATCTTTCTCCCTTAGCCCTTTCAGTGCTAATATTACAGGCATGCAGCACCATCCATTCATTTTAAGTGACTTCTAAGGCTTTTCCTGGTCAGTCTAACCTACTCTGATCTTTCCATTTTCTGTTTTTTGTAGCACTTATATCATTTATATCAGGGATCAGCAAACTTTCTATGAAGAAATAGAAGTATTTTAGGCTTTACTGATCATGTAGTCTCTGTTGGAGCTCCTCAGCTGTTGCTGTAGTAGGGTCAAAGTAGCCACAATGTCAGTGAATATAACTGTGTTCCAGCAACTATGTAGAAATATGTGAATGTTGAAATTTGAATGTCACATTATTTTATTTCTTACTTTTTAATGGTTTGTTTGAATTGGAATCCAAAATAGCTCCATACCTTGAAGACATAATTTTCACATCATTAAATATTCTCTATTTTCCCCAACTTTTTAAATATATAAAAATTATTTTCAGCTCATGGGTGGTACAAAAATAGACAGTGGGCTAGATTTTCCTAGAGATCTTGGTTTGTCAACTTCATTTTAATCCTTATCATTAGATCTATACTTCTGCTCCCTTGTAAGAGAAAGAAAATAGGTTTTAAAAATCAAGCTGGGCAATGGTGGTGTGTGCCTGTACCCCAGCACTGAGGAAGGTGAGGCAGGAGGGTCACCATGAGTTTGGGGTCAGCCTGGGCTACACAATGAATTCAAGGCCAGCCTGAGTTTTTTGAGACCCTGTCTCAAAAAAACCAAAAACAAACAAAGAACCAAAAAATAAAAAATCAGAAAATTAGGATTCACTCTCTGGCTTCATTACTTAATAATGCAACCTTGACTTTGTTTTCTCAAAGTATGGATAAAACTAATTCTATAGATTGATGAAAAAATGAGATGGTGTATGTGTAGAATCATTATTTAAATAGTAAAGCAATATAATTGAAACTTAATACAGTTCATCAAGTATAAGATATATCTTTCTTTCTTTTTCTTTTTTCTTTTGCAGTATTGGGGATTGAACCCAGGGGCACTC